CCGCGCGACCTACCTCGGTGCAGGTCTGGTACAGGGAACTCCGGCGCTAGCCGACCCGGCCAGGAACTGCCCTGGAGCATGCGCTCTGCAGGCCTCCGGCCCCGACCCTGGCCAGAGGGAAAACAAAGGGCCTGGCGATCCCTGGCGGCCACCGTGGGAAGTGCAAGTGGCTCGTTCTGGGTTAGCGAGCTCTAGAACCAGACTCTCCGTGGCCCAGCTACAGTAGCTGTGTTTTGTTTTTGTCGTTTCTAGGTTATATGTTTTAGAAACTCCTCGACAGATGGACTGACACTCAACCAACCTACCGGAAAGACTACTGTACTTGAATCCAGATTGATTTGGGAAAATCTGGTGTATAGACACCGATCTTTCCTGCCTTCAGAAGTGTATCCATGAAGAATGATGAGAAATCAGACTGTACCACACGGGGTTATTCAAAGGTATACACGGGGCTGACAGCTTAGTGGCTAAGAATGGCTTTCTGGGGCCTGCCTCGGAAGCGCAAGGGCCCGAGTTCGATTCCCCAGTATCCCCCCGCCCCAAATGGCTTTCCAGGTCAAGTCCAGGAGGACAAGGCACCCGAGGAGAAGCAACACTTGTAGTGTGACAGTGCTGGAGGATGAGGAACTGCCTGCCCTGCAGAGGATCAGAAGACAGCGGAGGGTGCTCATGACTGACAGGTTGCGCACGCGTGGACGTGGGGTCTCCAGTACCACCTCTCCGAAAGCAGTGAGGAGCTGGGATCTGAGCAAGGTCAGAGCCTTGTTTGCCAGCTAAGTGGAGAAAGGACTTGAAGAAAAGAGAGGGAGGGGGAAGAGGATCAAGGGGACTGGAGGGTACAGATAAAGCTGTGAATTGGGATTGAGATCTGAAGATGGGAAAAAGGCACCAAGCAAGATACCCTTCTCTTGTTAACATCCTTTCTTCACAGTGCAGACTTCAGGATTTCACCTTTCTGAGGTAAGCACGCAGACTATTTGATTGTGTCTGGGAGTTCTCTAGGTATGTCAGGGGAGCAACTCTTGCAGATAAAGGTATTTTCTGAATTTCATATCAATTCTAACTGAAAGTTTTTTGGTACCGGGGGTTGAACTCGGGCCCTTGCTTGCAAGGCAGGCGGTGAAACCACTGAGCTAAATCCCCCGGCCCAATTCTGACTTAAAGTTAAGACTAGATAGAGACAGTTTTTTTTCCTTGAGATGGAGTCTCACTACGTTTTCCAGGCTGGCCTGGAACTCATGGCATCCTCCTGCCCCAGCCTCCCTCCCAAGTACTGGAATTACAGGCTTGTGCCATCACTCCCAGCTATATGCACTTTTTTTTTTTTTTTTTTTTTTTTTTTTTTTTTTTTGTGACAGTT